GCCGCACCCCATCGTCCCCGGGAGGTGCACTTAAACCTGTTTCCCCCTGCCATCAGGCAAGGCTGGTGCCCTTCAGCCTGCAGCCGCACACATGCCGGCAGCCCCCCACATGCTTGCAGTGCAGCAAGCAGCTCTGCTGCAAGGCCCACAGCCCCAGCAAGGCCGAGGGCAGGGGCACCCCACACACCCCTCGGTGCACCCTGCAAATGCCCCACCAGCCCCTGCAGCCCGGCTGCAGGAACCAGGATGCAGCTTTTCGGAAAAACCCCCGCACTGAGGCCATGTCTTCAGGGGAAGCACCAGTTCCACCCACCTCCTGACTAAAGGACCTATTTTAGGGGGCAGCAGGAAGGGGTGACTTGCTGTCACATGCTGATGGGCACAGGGGGACCGAGCAGCCTCTTGCTGCCCAGGGCAGAGCTGCGTGCAGGGTAAGCGGGTGGGCGACCTACACCTGCCAGGCTCTGGTTTCTACAACTTGTGCGAGGGGAGAGGGAAATCCCCACGCAGGATGCAACCTGGAGTCAGATCTGAAAAGCAGTAGCTGCAGTTTCAGGCAGAGGAGATGCATTATCTTAAAACATAGCTTCTTCCGGGCAGCGCAGAGGTCTCAGCTGTGGCAGAAGCCAAATCGAGAAGGCAATTAGGCCTCTGCAGTGCTGTTATAGGAAAAGCATAAATCATTGTGTCCTCAAAAGCAGGAACTTTTGGCTTCTGCTGGGCTGTTCCATCCACAGGGCAGAGAGGGAGGAGCATCCTCAGGACCTCCATTTGAGGTGGTGTTCTCAAACCAGTGCATGCAAGGCAGCAGTGCAAGGAGACCTTGCTGGCAGGGCGAGGGGAGCACCACAGCTCACGGGGGTGGTCCCCAGCCCCAGGGGCTCTGCGGATGGTGCCAGCACTGTGCCGGTGTGTCCCTCGAGAGCATGGAGCACAGTCCCTGCCTCCTTGCCACACACATGTACCGAGATCAATCCCTCCGACACCAAAGCAAGAGGAACAGAGCCTCAGCTCTTGCTGAAATCAATGAGGCTCTTTACAGTCCCAGTCTCACATGATTTCCACCCATTTAAGTGATAGTCAGGGCTGGCTGTTATATCACAGCATCACCCTGGAGAACAGCCCCCAGTGGTTTTCCAGCACAGTACACTCCTCTCCCGCAAGCTTTCCAGCAGTGTCCGTCCCCGTGGGGCTGGGATGCACAGAGATCTGATGCTTTATCCTTGGCAATCTCCGATTTCCATGGTGGGCAGAAATACCGGCCCTGCGTAACGTTCCTCCCAGGAGCTTTCTACCCTGGGATGACAACCCCCCGCAGCAGCAGGAGCCCCAGAGAAGGGGCATGGTCTCATGGGCACCCTGGGTCCATGCAGCAACACTCCAGCCCCGTGATGTCGATGGGGGTCACAGCCTTGGCACGGCCCCAGGAGACAACGTAGCTCCACCAAGAGCAAATGCAGCAGCACCCAGTTGGGGCAGAGCAGGGAAGTCAGGAAGAATCACCACCCTGAGCCTCACCCTCCAGCGGAGCACAAAACTCCTGGTTTCTTCTTTTTTTTTTTTTTTTTTTTTTTAAGCTGCCAGCAAATACATCCATCCAACAGCTCAGTGAGCTGTGTGGGACTGGCCCCGCGGGGTCAGAGCCACCCTGCAGCAGCCCTGCTCCAGCACAGGGGAGTGGAAATGAATGTCAAGACAGAACATTCCACTGTGGCCTGAGATCATGTTTAAAGGTGTTTTTCTCCCCTTTGACAGGCAGGAACTGGTGAGCAGAATCCATTTGGAAAGTCTCCTCACTGGGAAGCTCTGGTTTGAAGCCTCGTCCCTCCATCCAGCGTCAGGGCTGGGCTGCCCACGGCTCCATGGGGTAGCGAAGATCACATCTCAGGGCTGCAGACCTCCATCTCAGCACCGCCGGAAGGAGCCGTGCCCCAGCCGGGTCACTCCCGTGGCAAGGAGACGATGATGAGCCGACAAGCCCAGCGCACATCCCTGTTGCGGGCGAGGGTGCCCGCATGGGTGCTGGAGGATCCCCAGGCTCTGCTCGCAGCTCCCCGCAGCTGCCTCTGCCATCCTTCCCGGCTGCATCGCTCTGCCATGTTTGTGCGTGTTGGCCCAGGGAGTGGTCAATGCACGTCCCTCCTGCATGGCGCTTGGGAATCACGTCCTGGAGACTCCACAGAGGGGGATAAAACCCATCTGGGACTCCATGGCGCAGGGGGATGCAGCAGAGCTCAGCAATGCTGCTTGCTTGGTGTCCTCTATGCTGAAAAGCCCACCTTCCCTTCCCTCCCCTGCCCCTTATTCTCTTTTTATTCTCTTCCCTGAAAAAGGTTGTTTTTTAAAAACACATCACGTGGAGGCTTGTTGCAAACAACCTGGGGGAGGGCAGGCTGCAGGAGCTCTTCTTCACCACCCAAAAAACACCCCTGCACCTGCAGCCAGCCACCACGGGTGGGTGCCCCACACCTCAGCCAGTGGCAGGGACAAGACGGGGTGCTCACCTCTGAGCAGGATCAGGGTCCTGCCCAACAAAGCTGTGCACACAGTGCAGTTCGTGTGAGGACTTGGGGCAGCCTTCCAGGGCCAGGGACCCTCCTGACACCTCCCCAATGCACCCAAGTTGAAGGGCAAGCTCAGACCCGCTCAGGATGCTGCACTGGGGCTTCTTATCTGCTGGCAGAACCCCAAACCGAACTGATGTCCCCGCAGAGCCCAGAACATCAGCCTGCAGCAAGGGGCTGCAGACAAAGGTGCTGCAAATCCAGCCTCGGGTGACAGCAGGGACACATCAGCATCACCCAGCCCCCAGGTCTGGGCCAGGCGAGAGGAGCTGGTTGGAGATGTGCAGACACAGAGATGTTTTCCTTCTGGGGTCCCTCAGCATGTGCCAGACAAATATGGTTAAGATATGAAGAAGGTTACAATTTATGAGAAAGGCTGGCAAGGAATATCTTGTATGTAGAGTGTTTTTAATTGGATTATGTACATCATGCTTCATGCCTTTGTTAACCGATTTAATGGTTCACCACTTAAGTTCACCACTTGCGTTAAATTTAGTAAAGTAGTCTAATCATTTCCAGAGTTATAACCAAATCAAGGGCTCAATTTCACAGAAGCCTGAAGCAGAGGAACTGTGAGACAATGGCCTAGATGCATAAAATTAACAGTTCTTGACCTCAAAAAGGGCAAAAAAAAAAAAAAAAAAAAGGTTTTCATGATTTAGTGTGGGTTTTTTTGTGTGTGTCGATTTTGTTTGCAGCACCTGCACCCAAGATGCTGGTGCAGTTTATAAATAGAGCCGCCTTCTCTTGCTGCAAGGCATGACAGGGGACAGCGGAGTCACCCGTCCCCCCTGCATCGGTGGCCCAGCCCCGTGGGACATGGGGTGCGGGTCCGTGCACGCCCCAGCGCGCTGCCCTTTTCCACTCGAGAAGAACACACACACACACGCGATCTGCCCCACATGAGCAGCCCTACAATAACAAACCCCTGCACGCACATAAAGGGGAGAAATTCTGTTTGCTGGGAAAAAACCCAAACCCCTCTCGGTTTCACGTCTCGCGGGGCACCAGAGCAGGTGCAGCAGCCACCGAGCAGCACAGACCCACAACCCAAAACAGCTCTGCATCTGCCCGGAACATGCAGCACATCTCAAAGACAAGCTCTGCCCTCCTCTTCAAGCCATCAAAGCACATGGCACCACTCGCCACCCTCCTGCCAGCAGCCACCCTGGGTCCCTCCCTCGACAAGGCACAGTGGGAGGAGATGCTCCCCGCTGCCCGTCCCGCCCCAGCGCTCGCCTGGATCAGTTCCGCGCTCTCCCAGCTGCCCATAACTCCTGCCTCCTGAAAGTTCGTCAGGCAAAGCAATTAAATGGCTGGCTGCTTAATCACAGGACCACACTCGCTCTGATCCGAGGAAGCAATTACCTTGAAAATGGGGGTCATGGGCCCCGCTCATTTACCTTAATTGAATTCCAATATCTGCCTCTAGCTGCCTGGGCTCCTGGCTGTGACTTAAAGCAGCTCATCAAAGCCGAGCATCTCCCTCGCTTGCTGTCTCTGCCACGGATGCACCAGTTCACCTCCCAGCCCGCTGGGAAGGTGTGAGGTGCAGGCAGCGGCAGGCCGGAGGCCAGGCAGCTGCGTGGTGCTGCCTGCCACCCCAGCGCAGACCCAGCGAGGCATGCTCCCGCGCCTGGACCGCTCCCCAGGTACCATCGCCACACAAGCCCCACCATGAGGGATCCGGCTGCAGCTGAGGCTTTCCTCGGCCCCAAGGGCTTCAGGAGCCCGGAGCACATTTCTACACTTAGTGCTACCCATAAAAACAGAAATGTATATAAAAGTAAGTTAAACGCAGAGAATCACAAAGATCCTTGTAGCTTAAGAAAGAAGTGCAAATAGTTACTAAAAAAAAAATTATTAAAAATCAGTATTTTTTGGAAAACAAACACCAAAACCCAGAGGAGCTCTGGAGCCACCTCCCAGGACACTGGTTGGGGACACTGATGTCCCAGGGTTAAGGGAGCTCCAGCAGAGAGCAGGTTTGCTGCAGGACTGAGACTGTTATATCAATTAAAGAGACAAAAATTGTTAGTCTTAAAAATCGCCCGAGATCTGTGAGAGAGAGCCCGTAAGACGGGAGCGGGTAAGTCAATGCATGGAACAACAACTCCGTCAAGTTTACAGCACATTTCACATCAACAGCACACACAGAGACATGCCTGGGCTCAGGGGGCTCTGGGAGGGCTGCTGGGCACCCGGCCCCGCTCCGCTCCCCAATCTCATGGAGAACATCAAATTTAGCTGGCGGAGGCCCCTGATGCTGCATTAGCGCCCGGGGAGGGGGACTGGGCTGCCCGAGTGGTGGCTGCCACCCCCCCCATCTCGCTCTATGCTGGATTGGGGGAGTTTTAGTGATTTGGGGGGCTGCGGGATGGCTGGGTTGCTGCGAGCTGCCCTTCTTTAACCCCGCCTGAGCACAGGATTGCCTCTGGTTATGGTAAATGATAGGAATAAAAGGGGTATACACACGGTGAGAGGCAGATTGGGAAGTCCACGTACCCCGATGATAGCATTCAACTCCGTCATTGTCACTTGCTTGGCACGCTCAACAGCCTGTGCGACTTGCTGTTGGTGCTGCGGGGACAGATGTGCACGGCCAGGTCAGAGCCGGGCACGAGGGCACCAAGCCAGGATGTGACCCACCCTCCCCCTGCCCCGGTAGCCCCACGCAGGAGCTGGGTCACCCCTTTCTTTGTTTATATTTTGCTCATGAGAGCAGCGGCCCAGGTGCACCTCCCTGCTCCACAGACCATGGGGTGCAGGGGGAGCTGGAGCAGCCCCTCGCAGCCTTTTTTGCTCCACGGGCTTGGCGCAGACCCGCACAGCCGAGCAAAGCCCCTTGTGGGGTCTGGCTCTCCCCCATCCCGAGGGTTTTGCAACGTGCAGGCGGGATCTGAGCCCCATTTCTCATGGGGCACCGTAAGCAGCCCCACACCCCCAAACCACAAGTTTGGTGGGAGCAGGTCCGTGCCCCCTCATGGGAGCCCCCAAGGGGCACAGTGCTGCCTTCCTGGGGAAACCCCCCCAGAAGAAGCAGCATCCACCGTCTGGGGTGTGAAAACATCCTTACCTCTTGTGACAGAAAAGGCATGATCTGGGCTAAAATCGTATTCAGTCTTTTAGCAATTTCTGTCTGAAGAAAGCGAAGAAGAAAAAGCAACAGTTAGTACCAGGCAGCCTCCCGCAGACTGCACGAGGCTTCCCAGCAGCAGCACCGTGCATCCCCTTCCTGTGCCCTCCCATGCATCCCCGTCCCGTCCCCTCCCTGGCCACGCAAGAGGAAGCAGCGACTCCCAAAAGAGGCAACGAAAGCGCCTTTGTGTGCACTCTGCGCTCGCCAGCACAGGGACACGGCCCTGCTCCCCACGCTCTCGAGACGCTTTGGTCCCCTTCCCATCATGGGATCGAGTGTCACGAACCAGCCCCAGCAGCTTCGCACCAGCCTGGACTTCCCTGGTTTCAAGAAAACGTAGCCGGGTGCTAGCACAGCTCCCCATCCTTGGAGCAGCTGCTGCTCTCCAAAGAGACCGGATCACATAAAATCAGTTTTGCACGTCCAGGCGGGATCACAGGCACGGACAGCCCCTCGCCATCGCTTTCCACTCCCGGTGCTTATTTGCAGGCATTGAGTTTCTTCAGAAGAAGCCTCCGCAAACACACACCACTCCATGCAGCTAGTGTTTAGTCAACAGCAAGGGCTGGTGCGTGCTTGCTCTGATCTCAGCACCATCAAGGTCTTTCCCCACCCCAAACTGAAACTGCTCAGGTTCCTTTTGCCATCCTCACATCATACTCAGGAAATTTAACCCGTAACCATTTACACCCGTCCGCTTGACCACATTATTTGAGAGTTTAACAAACCTATGCTGTCAAACTGTGGTTCCTGCAACATCTCCATTAACTCAGAGTAACATTTTCCTCAAGTGATAACCCCAGCACATGTTTGGGGTGAGCCGGCAGCCCAGTGCCAGGAGGTGCCATCCTGCCCTGCACTGCACACCCCACGGATGCTCCTGCTCGGCACGCGGAGCTGCCCGGATCGCCGCTGCCTGGCTCCCAAGAGTTAACGCCGGCTGCTCCGCCGGCTGAGGCAGCTGTTAAAACAGCTTTTGGTCCAACTCAAACACGGCCTGAGCAGCCGCAAGGATTCAGCGCCACAACAATGGCCGGAGCTGAGCCCTGGCACAGAATCAAACACCCAGAAATTCCTTCCGACAGCCCTGAGCAGCTCGTTATCAATAACACAAGTGATTAACTGGGTCTCGCTCCAGCCTGCCCATTGGCAAGGTGCCTCCTCCCTGAGATGGCCAGCAGCTGCCCCCTGCTCAGAGAGCCCCTGTGCGCTCCCCAAATCACCACCTCCATCCCCAGCACCCCAAGGCTTCACCCTCCCCGATCCCCACTGCTTGGCCCCGAGGCATGCCCAGGATGTGCCCTACAGCAGCTCTGATTTTTAATCCCAGCCCCAGCGGGGTGCCGACCCCGAGAGGGGCTCTCAGCTCCACCTGGTCTCAAATACTGCAAGAAAAAAAATCCAAGTATCATAGTTTGGAGGGGAAAAAAAAAAAAACAACCAAACAATAGACACTCAACCTTTGCTTTGAGGAATTGGGCTGGGGCATGCTGGTGTTACTACAATACTAACCGGACGTTAGAGACCGAAGCAAGAGCACAACCGACATGTCCCAGGACAACCCCAATCTCCCCCAGCCCAGGCTCACCCCCGCGGAGGAAACCGCCCCGCAGAGACCCCACGGCCACCGGAGCTCAGGGACTTGCTGCAAGGGGTCCCCACAAACCACCCGCTTGCTGCTCCCGCAGCACCTATGCACAGGCATTGCTGGTTTCAGCTTCAAAGCAACGGGGATATTTCTGGACATCGTCTTTTCTGAAAGCGCCCCGGTGATCGGGTTACACCCGATGCTTTTATTAGCCCTTCCAGAGGTCAGGGGAACATGCTGGTGCACTGTGTCAAGGCAGAGGCATCTGGAAGTGACCACAGTTTGGACTCAGGTACCTTGGCTACAGCTACGTGAGTGCTGCAGCCACCAGGATTATCATGGACCCGAAAGCGAGGATGTGAGGCTCCAGGCAGCTGGTGAAGGCACAATACTCCCAGAAGAAAGGGCTCTGGCCAGCACAAGTTTTTAAACACCCAATGTGCATGCATCGCTCACCGACAACTCTGTGCCCACGAAATTGGGCTGCAAGCTAAAACTGCAAAAATCAAGCCCAGCCACGGTGCTGTGTCCGAAGGAGCGTGGTGCAGAAGCATGGGCTGGCACCGCGTGTGCCGCCAGCTGCCCGGCAAAGCAGTGCCACTTCAAAAAGGCAGCAGTGCCACCAATAACCACCCTGGTGCTGACATCACGTGTTGCTCAGCGATAGGTAAACCTCTTTAAAGGCCTTTTTGGCACTGACGCATCGATTAGATTATATATAAACTGCAGCTCCATTAAATATTTATTCCTTCAGATGAAGCCTATTGGATTCTGGACACAAGCAGCACTCGGCGTATTGCTCCTCCAGCACGGTTGCTTCTCCTGCGAGCTCTTTCTTGCCAGCCCCCAACAAATTCTAGAACAAATTCAATCCTTATTTGAGGTGAAAACAGCGGTGCCAGCACGAGCAGTCCCTCTGGCTGCATGTCGCAAAGGTGTAAAGGAAACAAATGCAGCATCCAAACAGGCTGCCTCCACAGAGGAGGGAGGGAAGGTGCTGAGTTTTCCCCAGGCACCATCGAGCACTAACACAGTCCAGACAAACAAGACGCACGACGACCCATCGCCTCCACGGTTAAATCCAATTCTGCCCAAACTTCCAACAAAGATTTGGAGAAAAACTTCACACTCTGCAAAGAGAGACTTCCCACATGGGATTCAGCAAGCAAGAAGATATTAGATGTCCAAAATTTTATGTTTACAACCGTGAGGTTTCCTGTTAACATGAGATTCAATGATCTTTAAATATTTGTTCACTTTAACTTTTCCCATTCCCCAGCATATTAAACTGTAGTTGTCCCCATTAAAAGTTTAATCGGGAGCCAAAGGGGATCCTCTGGCACACTGGGAACAGGGGAGGGTTTCATGCCTGACACCTTCCCCATAACAGGGCTCATTCATCACCTTGCCCCAGAGCGACGGAGCCCCCCGAGCCGCTCCTGCCAAGAAAAACCTCCATTCCCTGCCGCGGGCTGCCCTGGCACCCCCAGCCTCCGCATCCCCTCCCAACACCCTGCATCTGCGCTGGACCACGCCGTACATCACCGAGACGGGGGCTGCAAACGAGTGGTGGATAAAAGACCAGGGGCACCCCAGGAGAGGCACCCAACCACACAGCCCAGCACCGGCACCCATGGGAGCGCCTCCCAGGATGCTCACCCCGGAGAGCAGGATGCTGACAACGGCTCCATGCCGCTTGTTAAAAGGGCAAGGAGTCAGGAGAACCTGAAATCTCAACTAAGCCCCCACCACCCCCGGCCCCTGCCAGGAATCTGACCTGTTGCTAGACTAGAAACACTTTGGGGTGGTGTTTCACAAGCAGGGGGGAATCAGAGAAAACATTTGCACTGGTTATAAATTAAGAGACAGACCACTTGGCTGCAGGCTGCAAGTCCTGTCACCCGCTCTTAAAATGGCCAGAGCCGCTACCAGCACCCAAAGCACTTAAGGGCACAGAGAGCCGCTGCTGGAGCCGAGTCAAGAGCCGGGCAGGGGCTCCGGCTGCAGCAGCGTGCGGCGGCATGGTGTTAAATAGCTGCAGGGCTGGTTCTCCCCAGCAGCCCTGGCCCCCCGTCCTCTGGTCTTTACACCTGGACATGGCAGAGGGAAGTTTAAAAATAACTCTGCCGGCCGTCAGTCACGGGATATGCAGAGTGGAGTTGAAAGGAGCAACCTTAAAAATCACCCGAAGCACACGAGTGCAAGCAGAGCCCCAGCCTTGAACCAGGGTAAGGGGGTGTGGGGGGGGGGAGCCTGCACCCTGGCACGATACCCTGCAGACACCGCTCTAGGCAACAGGGATGCTCGCTGTGCCAAAATATGTTAGCCTTGGCCTTAGCTGAGCAAGCAAACAGGAGCTGCAGGGCTGCCCCAGCCCCATCGCTGCCCCGGGGGTCACACCTCTGGGCTGATCCCAGCACCCTTGGGCAGGACCCCTCGGCACAGGACCGGCCCCAAACACCTCCTGGGTTCCCAGTGCTCGGGAGCCTTTGGGGCCAGTGCTCAGCCAGGCTCTGGGGATGGAGGCGCTTGCAGAAACCGACCCCACAGCCACCGCTCTGCAGAGTGTGGCCCCAGCCTTCCCAAATGCCCTGCACAAAGCACACGCACCCTGAGCAGGACAAATCCTCCATGAACCTACACAGTTTTGAAATGAGTCACACCAGCGCACCAGACCAGGCCATCTCAAATGCAGTCTCAGAACAGACTTTGGGCCACACCAGACCAAACTCCAACCTGCCCTTGCTTATTGATTTAAATGGTGGGATGCAGGCTGGAGACAAGGGGCTGAATGCATGGCATTGCTCAGCTGACCCTTTCTCCTCTTGAAAAACATGGCAAAACATTATAAAGACTTTCCACCGCAAGCCTAAACCCCCGAAGTGATGGGGTTGGTAAGGTGCCCAAGGCAACGGTCCATGGGATGCAGGAACACGGCATCAGCATCATCCCACAGTTCATACAAGACTCCCGGGGAGAAGCACCCGCCCGCGAGCCCCCAGCTTTCTCCTTAGCCTCAAAAACACAGGTCACTCCACACGCACCCAGATGGCGTTTCCAAGACGGGTGTGCATGACCACAGCCCTCCTTCAGCCACCCCAGGTCTCCCCCTGCGCTGTGCGCGCACCCCCCAGACCTCAGCGCTGGAAGAGGCTGGCAGGGGCGGTAGGAGAAAGGCAAGGAGTAAATCACACCACCAGTGAAGCACCAGAAGCATTTGTTGAAACCAGGATATTGTCTCTTTAAGCACATGAAAATAAGGCCCTTGAGCAGTGTGGTTCTCACTCCGGCGCACAATTATGGGTACTTTCAGCTGTCTACCACTATTTCAAGTGCTCTCTCCAACCAGGCTGTCAATGGCATGTTGAAAGCTATTTGTGGCTGCTATCGTTATTAGCAAAGTGGAGAGCTCCACTGATGAGAATTAAATTCAGGGAGGGGGTGTGGAGGGGCGCGCCACAACCCCTCATTACAGAATTACCACCAGCACCCGGGCTGCGGGGGGGGCAGACCTCACCCAGGACCCCCAAAACCCACCTGGGACCCCCGGTGCCTCCCGCAAAGCCAAGGGGAGGGAGAGGTTAAGCTGGTTGACAGCTATTCCCTTCTACCTTAGGAGACCTGAGAGTATCACACTAACAAATTACTTGGCTTCTGAAGTATTTAGCAAATTATTACCTGGCACTCCTTGCTAATGAGCATGACAGAAAGTATATTGTGTTCTTGGAATATTCTAGGAAAAAAAAAAACCCCACAACCTTGCTTCTCTTCCCCTGGAAGTGTCAGGAGGGTTTAGGTTTGTTCCAAGCATTAAGTGTTTAAGCACGAAAACAAGAAGTGCTTATGTGGAGAGTTCTCAGCCATGAAAAAAAAAAATCAGCACAAAGGTTCTCCCCTCTGAGGTGTCCCGTTTCCCCACGCAAAATTAGTTTTTCTTTTGGAATCGTTATTCCCTCCGACTGCATTTGGCAATTATCTACAGAGATCTGAACAAAACCAATGCCAAAACAACAGGGGAACAAAAGTTTCTTTTGTAAAAATCAATTAACCTTAAAAAAGAGTTTCGCTCAGGTTTAAAAAGAAAACTCCCAACCAGCCCCAGGTTTAAGAAAGCTGAGCCCGGATAAGACAGTGCTTCATTTTTAGGAAGACTGATGTAAGGAGCAATTCACTGCGTTATATGCAACAAAGTGGGTAGTCACTTCCTAAATATTTCCTTGCATATGGAGTTGTTTATGAAACTACATTTTTTTCTTAACAAGAAACAAAACGAGAAGAAAGGAGAAAAAAAACCACACGCAGCCACATATGCACACACTTAATATTCAGCATAGAAGAGATAATCTGTTATATAAGCCCACAGACAGACAATCCCCTTTTGCTTAAAGATGAAGTATCCATCAATGTTTGTCTCAAGCAGATGTAATCACAAGCAGTCAAGTCTGGAGGGCAGGACACTGCATGAATAATTCAAGCACTTCAGTCTACTTGATTGTGTGCAGATAAACACAAGTCAACCGCTAAACAGGTCAGCTGATAAACTTGTTTGTTCAGGACTAGCCACCCTCAACCAGATGCAGGCAGGACCACGCTGCAATTAGCAGCGGGACGCCTTTCAGGGGGGATGCTGCAGCCCAAAAGAGGGGCAAACCCTCTCCGGGCACCCGCTCGGAGCTGAGCTCTCCCATCCCTCCGCTCCCTCTCGCCCCATTTTCGCCTGGAAGCGCGCTCGAAGCTGCTCGGGCTGCTTTGTTTTCCTCCAGCACCATGCACATTGCTGTCAATTAAAGAACAAGACAGCTTCACCTCCCCAAACTTCCCCCATCAGCCCAGCACTAGGCATGCAGCATATGTCACCAGGAACAACTAAAGCAGGCGGGGGATGCTCCGTGCAGGCTGGAATCATCCAGCAAAGATTTATCTGCCGAGTTGCAAGGCAGCAAAGCTCCCAGCAAGGCACACCGACCACGCAGGGCCTCCCTGGGCTGCAAACGCCGTGGCGTGGGAACTGCCACCCTGCAAAATCCGGGTCAGGAAAGGCAGCGGCAGCTCTGCCTGCACCAGCCCCACGGAAAACTGCCCCTGGGCATTCTGAGGCTCCTCAGTTACCCTCCAAAACCATCCCAGACACTTTGCCTCGCCAAACGCCACAGGGAAGACACACTACGTGGTCACACCGCAAGATGGAATGGATGGCAGAGCACCCCATCCACACGCCAACAAAGCCAGAGCCCGTGACGGGCTCTTACCTCTCAGTCCTGACACTCATCCTGCGGTGCAAACACTCTCCGATGAGCTTTTGGTTACAACCACGCACTGGTGAAAAACACACTGCACATCTCGGGAAACAGCAATTGCTTCCAAAGCTTCCATCAAGAGAAAAAGCTCGATATCTTGCTGTATTATTTCAGCATCTCCCAGCGTTTGCACAGAGCAAAGCTGCTCCATCACCGAGCGACCAGGTGGAAAGAGGCATTCCCCCTCCCGAAAGCAGCCTGCACGAGTGCTTGTGTTACTCCAATCCCTCGAGCATTTCTGAAGAGGCTGCAGGGTCCGTGTGCCCCTGGACACATGCAAAATGGGGACGGGGTCCTCGCAGGAGGCCACCACAGGCCTAAGCAGAAATTCTGCATTCAGGAGTATTCCTGGCTGCACCAAGGCAAAACCATGCCCAAGGTTTCCCCGAGCTGCACACCAGCCCCGCGTGCCCCCACCCGCCCCAGGCATGGGGGACCCGGGCTCCTGCACAGCCCCCCCAGGGCTCCCCGCAAGCAGCACTGCCTCGCAAGGATGCTTTTGTCCAGGCAGAAGCAATGAAGAGAAAGAAGTCGGTATTATCTGCATGGAAGAAGATATTTTTAAAAAACTGAAGACTAAGCAGTAATTATTCTCGTTACCCTGTGACTACGTACCAGAAAGCTAAAGGGAAGTGTGTGCGAAGAGAGGCAGACTCACAGACACGCTGCTTTGAATTTCATCAGTCGGCTAACGATACTTTCTTACTTAAGGCTTCGACACTGCCATTAAGCAAAACCACTTTGGAGTTGAATGGGACTGATTTGCGAATTGCAAAGTTGATGTCAACTTATATCTGCCTTAAGTTCTTAATTAGAACTACTTCTAAAACCAGTAAGCAGCAGCAGCACAAATAATCAGGTCTAATCTCAATAATAACTTTATTCCTTTAAGTTTTACCATCATGTGCCCAGCCTTTAGGCTCTTTAACTATAATCTTATCAAGGTAGCACACCACATTCTGCTACGGCCTTCTGTATTTTTCCTTCAGGCAAGTTACATATTATGGGAGACCAAAAAAGAAAAAAAAAAAAAGAAAGGAGTACCAAACATTGCTTCATTTTCCAGATGCAAAGACAAATCCATGACATTGAGCAACACACCATAAGATATCGGTATCCCTGAGGATAATTCCCTTCTAAGTCTCACGCTACAGCACGGCAAGTATCAGGGGTATGACCTTAGAAACAGTCGCGTTGTACCAACAACAAAACCAGAGGAAAACGCAGGAGATAACAGTATTTTCCAAGTGCCGGGAACACGCTATTCCAGGTACCGACCTCCCAGTGTGGAAGGCAAGGCTATTTTTACCTCTTCTCATAAACACTCTTGTCAAAACCTAAGTTTCTCCTGAATATTGGCAAAAAACCCACCGGCCTTCCATCAACCTGCAGTTCTCAGTGTAACTGCCGGGCTGCGAGACCTCACCTGGAGTCACATCCCCGACTTCAGCACTTACTCCCCATTTAGTGCAATCAGGGCCTATTTTATCTCAGGTTGAGAAAAGGGCAACAGGAGATCAATCAATCACAACTTCCCCCCTTTAAATTACTCACCTGTTTGTGCATTTCAATATTCAAACCATACGACATTTCATAGTACTGGGGAATAAAAAAAAAAAAAGAAAGAAGAGAGAGAGCCAAGAAGAATTTGAGTTAATTTAACATAAGGTATTTGCATAAGGTCATTACCAGAAAGCATCCCGGTCAAAACTGCGCTTAAAGCATTCGTAGCCAAGGAAATTATACCTTATAATAAGCAGATGTTTATAGGGTTTAACTGGCATGCATTTAACAAGAAGACACTCCTTTTTACTCCTGTTTTCTCCTCCTAAGCTACTTAGAAAAACAAAGAGGCACAGAGGTGTGTGACAGGCGCCTGCACAGCCCTGGCAGAACAGGTACTGCCCGTAGTCTGGCCAAAAACACAGTTTCTCACTGGGGGGGTGGATTTATTTCCTCTCCCCCCCCGGCCCCGGGTCCAGCACTGCTGCTGGGAGCCCAGGGAGCGCCCCGACCCCTTCCTCCCCTGGGAAAGGGGGTGCTGGGTCCTGTTAAACCGATTAGAAACAGAAACGATCCCACCTTGGGGCCCTGCGATGCAAATTTCGCCAAAGGAGGCTTCTGCGGCAACAAAAGAGCACACTTTCCCCGGGAGGGGGAGGGGGATGCCCTGG